TATATATATATATATATATATATATATATATATATATATGAATGAATGAATGACAAGACCAAACTTAAACGATCCCTTTGCTTTGTTACACTACATTTATTTTAGTTGTTCATTCTTCGTTCCCTATAAATCAGTTTGTACAAACTTTTATTATGCTTTTTTTTTCTTTTGCCAAATTTTTTTAACTACAATGCCTTCTTATATTTGCACAATTTTTGATATTTTTATGAACATTCACTCAAGTGTAATGTTGCTTTCACAAAATACTGTGTGTTCACTCATGCTAATCAATAAAGACAACGTTGTGTTTCATGTGAGTGTGTGGGCAACATCTCTGTCCTGTAGGTGGCGCTGTGGTCACATGTGCTCCTCTAATACATCTGATTGTGTAGAATCTATTTTGACATTTGTGATGTATGATGTATATTAGCCTGTTCTACTCATACTCTTACACTTTGTGAGTGTTTCTTTAGAAACAACGAACATGATGTCATCAAGTCAGCAGCAGGGATTTCCAAATGCTTCACTGCCCCCCCCCCCCCCACACACACACACACACATGCATTTAAAAAAAAATAAGATTGAAAATCCTCAAGCCTGACCACTCAAAATAACCTTAATGACATCATCAGGTGTTATTTTTCTCAGATACATCCCCTCAGTCTGAATTGCTATTTCATTTACTTTACTCAAAAACAAAAAAGATGATGAACCAGAATCTGATAACAGATATTTTAGCACTGTAAATCAGAGCCAATCAAACCGAAGCAGATTATTAAAAGTAAGAAAACATATAAGAGTGTTTGGGAAAATATTAGAAATGCTCATATTCGTCGTGACATCAGGAACCAATCAGAGCGAGCGGTCCCTCTAAGCTGATTGTTGACATGTAGAACATGAAGCAGGCTACTTCAGCACAGTCAGCGCTTATATCAGTAATCTCTCGGAAACCCAGCCTGCTCATGCATGTGACATTTGTGCATTTAGAGGCGAAAGACATCCAATGCAGGGACATTAACACCCCCCCCCCTGCTACACCATGACACTCCCCTCACACACTTAGATCACAGACTAACAGTGTGTATGCCTAACGCAGTGTTATGGGTGACAGTGTCCAGCTGTGAGCAGCAGGCTGACCTCATGCTGTTATATAATGCTGAATGAAGCGCTGATCAGTTGCATAAGCCAGTTATAGGCTCATGCTCTGGTTGGGGGCTCACCACGCTCCTCTCTGCTTGCTGTGTTTTTTGGCATTCTGGGCCCGGCCCTGGAGGCCCTTTATACCGACATCAACAGCAACTAAGTGGAACCATCCTCGGAGGGTTCGAAGCACCTGGCAACCAGGTATGAAAATAAAAACAATCTATATGGAGCCCTGACACATTTACAGCCCCAATGGTCTTCATTAGACGGCTGTATGGAGTTCATCTCACACTTGTTATCGCAGGTTTGAGAGTGTGAGGACACAATAATCTCAGAGTACATCACACGTTCCTGGAATATGATTAGGGTGTGATTATATATTAGGACATATTTTTTTACATCTTACACTATACTATTCAAGTCAATAAAATACATTATTGAATGAAATATGTGTTGAATAATGTGTTGAGTACACAAAATGTGACCACATTAATTAAGAATGAGATCAGATTTTGTGCTCTGTGTGCCAATTTTTACATTTTATTTTTGATCCGAATACAGTTTAAGAGACTTTCCCACACTGACGAAGTCAAATTCTATGTAAAAAAATATATTTAAAAAATATATAAATATAAATATATATATATATTTTTTTTTTTACCTAATACATATATTTAAAAAATATTTTGAACCCTATAGTAATAATAGTAATGGTAGTAAAATGTATGAATTCCTAAAGCAATTGCGTTTGTAGGCAATTTATTTTTTATTTCCTATATTAATGTAAGGGGGCGGGGTCTCGCGCTAGTGCGCGTGGGTTTCAGTCAGGCAGCAGCAGCGTGTCTGTCTTGCGCTCCAGCTGTGGCGGGATGTTGGGAATGTCAAGCTAACCGGAATAAGACACATACAAACCGGGAATTTAGAATAATTCAGAATAATAGCGCAAGAAATATGACCCAATGGACAAGTTTTGAAGTTGTGCGACCGGAAATGCTTTGTTTTCTGTTTACCATGCATTGACAATGATGATGATGATGCTAGCGCAGCGGAGAATTGCAGCATCAACTTTCTAGTCCCGCTACCAGCATCTGTACCATGCTGTGTTTACATCCATTATCCGGACTGGACGACTCACGTTGTTTGAAGGTAACAACTAAGCTAAAACAGTCTGATACGAAGCAAACCATACATCGTTAGGGCGCTAGATATCAGCAGCTGGAGGTGTAAATTAGCATTATGACTGTTGCCTGTTGTACAGTATGAGGTGTTGCTGAAAATGCCAGTAGCATAAAGTATCAAGCTAGCTAAGATTAAATATAGTTTGTTATTTCCGGTCTAAAATATAACATTTAATATCAAACACGATTCACCACATGAAGCTCTCATGTGGTGTTATTTACAACAGAATGTGAAGCTGCATACACGTTTATCAGTATTTTTTAAATACAAGCAGGTGCTTCAGTGTTTAAGCTACACTTAGCGTTGCGCTTTTCTTTTTTTGTCAACGCCCCAATGCTTGTGCATTTCCGCTTTTATTTTGAAGGCCACGTCTGGACGATTTCCTGTGTCGTCTTGACGGACGTCGGCTAACTTTATGCAGCTCGCGAAGAGCCCGTGGTCGCACCGCAGAGAAGTGAAGTTGAGCATCCTGCAGGTAATGTAAGCTCATTTACATGGTGTCAGTAAGTTGTTGTGAATATTACAATATATTTTTTGTCGCTTTGTTTCATGGTAGGATTTTACATGGTGTGGCAGGACGGGT